AACAATAGTTACGTAGGTGATTGTACAGTTGATGTGTAGTTTCCAACCATTGAATATACCTGTTGATATCTGTCTATTATCTGAGAAACCGCAATAGTCACTTGTATATTGGTGAACTGCCTGTCATTGCTGTATGATTGGTTTAGGTGGGTAGGTTGATCGATAAATGGAAGCATTTTTGCATAGAGGTTAAGAACAATGCTTCAGGGAAAATGGTTGAATGGAAAGACATTTATGCAAATCTGTTTTTACATTGCTTGCTCCCGTACGTGGAAACATTATCTGAGATGATATACATGGCAGTGTTATTTTAACTTCAATTATTTTGCTCAGTGGAAGAGTGACAGTATCGTTTCTGTAGAAAATGTCATGTAACGCAATCAGCGTTTCCAATGCTCGCACTTAAACCTGTGTTACTCTGCTGTTGAAGTTTTTTCAGTCTGAGGTAGTGATGGCTGAAACTCATCTTGAGCCACGTGATTGCTGACTAAATCAGCATAAGTTGTAAAGTGTAATTTAAGAAAAGCAGTGCGGAGCGTGCCATTGAAGACAAAACGCCAGTTGTCATCGGTAATGCCTAATGTAATGTAGTCTGATCTAGTTTAATCTGATAATGATCGCCGGACCGCAGGCAGAGAAAGGGGTTTTGATCTTACGCATGTTGTACTGCATCCGTAGATTTGCCTAGATTAAGTCTTCGAGACTCGATGTTTGATGTCGGAGCGCTGATGCCCATGACTTAGATCCCATGGCAGAATTCGTCGACCGTCCATTCACACGGTACTATTAAATTATGAAATTTTTTCTTTCTTCAAGTAATGGGGATAATTATTGTTGTTTGGCTCTGACTAGTACCTCTTGGTTCGTTGCTCGTTGGAACTAACCAACTTATTGAAAACACGTTGTAGATGACGTTGTTTTGGGCTGTTTTTTTTTTGACGAAGCTTATGCGTTTTCAGCAACGTCACAATATTTAGGTAATGCAGTAAAATCAAGATGGCAGAAGATGTCAAGATCCTCAAGTTTATCTTCAGCTGGATGCTCTGATGACATCACTTCTTTGCGGTTCTTTAATATATAGTCTCTAGTCATTGTCGCAGCTAGCCGGCGTTGGCAGCTGTAGAGCCAAGGTATTTGGATAACTTGCCACCCTCTGATTTATTACATGCGAAGATCGGTCCGTTTCTTCGAATCTTACTGCCTTCCTCATCACCTTCATTTTCTTCTGATTGAGTGTAAGGCCTGTTGTTTCAGTGACGATGTGAACTGCATCTCCAGTTAATCAGGTAAATATTAAATTTTTTAACTGTTCTTGGCGTTGTGATGGATAAATGTTTGGGGAATGGCATATTCCTTTCGATCCATTGTTCAAGGTAAAAATAAAGTGTAATCCAGATGGCATCTTTGGTGAGCATATCGCTGTCATTCTTGATTTATTAACATGAGTAACAGTATTCAGTTAGAGGTTTAAAGGGTAGACTTGGTTTACTAGTTTTTTACGCGTTGTCCTTTGTACGAAGATTCTAACTGGTTTTTCGATTTCTGCACCGTCCCTTAGAACACAACAGTTTAGCGATCTTACCTTATCTTGTTCCAGCAAATTGCTAATGACCCTATCGGTGACCAGCCACTAGCCGTTGGTTAGACTCTACCGTCTGTTTAGCGAAGCTGCCGAAATGCATGTATGATCGTGTTATATTTTCGCCTATAAGGGTAAAAGACTCGCTAATCAAAGCCAGCTCGCCACGTCATGAAAAGTGCAGCCTGAGTGCCAGCCCGATGTCACTGATGAAGCACAATTGAAACCAAACTACGCCGAAATCAGTAGACACGGACAGATTGAATATCGGCAAGGGATAGCTTCGGTGTGTGGCAAGCATCTCTGTCTCTGGAATCATCTCACACTGTTGTTGTTCGCCTGCTGGCTTGACGAATGGCACGTGAAGCACTGAGCAACTTGTTAAAGCATGAATTCAGCGTATTCTACGTGGGCCGGTTTATCGTGCTCCGGTGAATTACGCGGAAATGTGCCAAAGGTGTCAGGCAAAATACGATCTGAGATCGCAAACGAAATGGATAAAGGTCGGTTCTTGAGGAACTGTGAACCGATAGCCGACTATATGAAATCAGCAGGAATGTTGACAGGGTGATTCAGACAACTTCACTGGATAAATATGGATAAAAATCACAGCAAACAGACGTCTATGACAAACCCTTGCAGAGGCCTTCATCCAACAGCAGATCGACGTCCACCGATGATGGTGAACAAATCGAACAGAAATAAACGCGAATTTATTCCAACATAAAGCAAAGAATAGCAGAAAGCCGGCTCCAATAAATTAACTAACCCACCAGAACACCCCGGCGACGTGGAGAAATGTTGAGGAGACCGGTGTTTAAGTTGAAGTTTCGTTTACTAGTAGGTAGCGGCTTTTTTTGCATAAACATTTACTCACACTGCATCACATGATTACTGGACGTAAATATTGCGGAAGCTGCGGTGATACTAATATCTAAACAATACCGGTCTGTCGAGCATGTGAACGGTGTGGAAAATACAAAACTGATAATAGTACATTGCAGAGGCAGACCTGCTTGCCACAAGCATTAGTGCATATCGTTTAATATAATAAATCCATTACACCATTTCAAATTGGTCGGATTGACCTTAGCGGGCATTTGGGCAAAATTTTGTAGAAATTGTGATAGCAACGACTGTTTCAGAACTACATTTGATACGAATGGTACGATTCAAAACGCCGATTGAACCTTTGGAGTTTGAATCACGAGTAGAACGGGGTTTCGAAACTAAGACTGACTATTCTTGTTGTACATATTGCGTTTCTGACCGGATGTATTTTCAATTCTATGTACTTTAAAACAATAGCAAATACAATTGTAGTAACGTACTAACTGTTAGATTTCCGCTTGTGTTATACGTAGTTGATTCACTGAGAAAATTTGCAAATTTCGATATCCGCTCCTGGTCTCCTGCCGGTAGAGCGACTGACTCAAAACCGAAAGGCCTGGGTTCGAGCCCCCTTCGACTCACACGCCTCTGTTCCTTTCGAGGTTGATAAATGAGTACCGCTCTGTAGCAAGTAAACAACGGACTATGCGCTACGTTTGCTGTTGATTCCTCCTCTAAAATAAACACTCCTGATTGATGGCGTCGAAACAGAGACCAGCATCCTCATCATCAACTGCACGATATGAAACGGCACCAGAAAATATTTCCATCGTGAAAATGAAGGAAGGCTGAGATTTGAGTGAAAATTTCCTTTCATCGCAAAGGTGGAGATTGGCAGACCCAGAAGCCGTATTTTGAAACAGTGTAATGTGTGCTATTAGTTTTTTTGGTGTTGAGCAAAATAAGAAATTTCCAGTTGAATATGAAAACAAGTGTCATTTTTTTTAATGAAAAGCTTGCTCATTCATTTCTAAATTAAACTTTGCTTTCTATAGTTACTTCTGATTCACTGGGTTATTTTTCAGTTGATGCAATTTTGATTGACAGCAGTCGAAAGAAAGCGACCAGAAATTTTAGAGCGACGGGGATCAATGTTACTTCATTCAGAAGGATGTCTGCAAGGTGAGGTTCAAAAGGTGCACGTAGAGACATGCTAATCGCAAGAGAGACTCGAATCACGCAAAATCCTTGCAAAGGTACGTAGTCGCAGGTCAGTGACTAAGGGATGAGGTTAGATTGGACATATTGCACTATAACCATTGATAGATACCAAAAACAAATGGTTGTCCCTATACACAGTAAAATGGCAAAATTAGCATCTAATCAATTTCGTCTTCTTAACGAAGCTGTTGTTTGGCACTCCTCTGTCACTCTGTTGAGGTTGCTGATCGATGACATGATTGATGCAAACACTAATTATGGTAGCTTGCAACGAAACACATATACAGTGTGAATAATGAGATGATCTTTTGCTTTGATGATTGCCATTGTTGTTACACCGTACCCGTTAAGCGGACTGCCATACGTCCGTTTCCCTATGCCTGGAACAATAGAGCCGGTATTTCAATGAATGTTATCATCCTTATCATGATCGTTTTTTTCTGCCTTTGTTTCTTTCTTTTCTTGTTGTTTATCATCGCCATCTTTATCACAATTATTGGCATAAGTCGCAACACCGCTGCAGAGAGGGTGCCTTTCTCCTTCCATTCTTCTCTTCAAAGGCAGGTCGATATTATTTCATACGCAGTATCACCGAGTAACAGCATAAAACACGGTTTGTTTATATACAACACAAAGGTGCATGATCAGTCAGATGACTGACCACTACCGACGTTTCGGCCGGTGTTGCACGGGCCTTCTTCAGGGTAGGGAGGTCGGTTGACCGAATTTGGAAGTTTTCCTGCTGTTCACACTGGCTGCTACGTGTGAAGCCGGAATGCATAAATAAGCAATGTTTCATCAGTATGCCCACGAAATAACCGATCTGAGGAAATGTAAGTTAACTCATTTCCGGAACAAAAAAATTAGGAAAGAATGTTCCGCCCCAAAGCTCGAATATTTACAGCCGTATGCCGTATCCGTGAAATTAACTACGGTTAGGTGACTTTTGCGGTGGTTTTAAGCGCCTGCAATGGTAGAATAGTCGTATAAAACATTTGCTGCTTTCATTGGATGTCTCAGCTTATGATGTAATGATCAGGATTTCGGAATACGAGTTTCTTGCTGAAAGGACAAGAGGTTGTGGCTGCGGATTGTTCATGAGGCCGACTGCTGTGTTCGCCAGTTTTGACTCATTTCCAGAGCGACCGTGTTCCCATAGGAATTTGCATATTAGCAAGTTAATGGTCATCCGTCAACACAGTACTCTACGAACGAACTTTAATCGTGCAGATGATACCAGAACAGGTTGCTACAGTTGAAACTATTTCACGGTTCATTACTCATCATCGATCAGATTAAGAATTGGCATATAAATAGCTTAATTTATCCGTTGAAAAGAAGTCTAGCGCATCACTTGATTCTTCGAGTATTACGATGACTGGCCATAGGTGCGTAGTGTGTTTCTCGCGTTAAACTTGGCAGTGCACAGTCCATTTTTGTCCAAATGGGGATAACCGGCGATTGAGCACGTTTGCGTGCCCTCTTCGTACAGTGGCTCAGTTCTGTCATACACCCTGAAATCAAAGCGACACTAACAACTGCTATATTTGGTCACATGATGCTGCCTAACGTTTTGATGAACTTGCAAGCGAAGTACAAGTACTTCTTTTTCGGGTTCCGGTACTTTTTTGCAGTACCTTCTACTTTCGCGCACTCTGCGATTCCACATCCAAAGTATTCAACGCCCTGGGCGATCATCTACAAATGCGAGGTGATTTCACGCGATCGAGAGAGACCTTTTTCACCTGTCGAAAATTTTTGCAACCCGTGTCCGCAGCGCACGAGTTAGATTCGTAAATGAAGTTCTCCATTTCGTTGAACCAGCGTGTGAGACTGACTGCGGCTTTTTTCGTTGTTAACTCGGGAGTAACTACCGTTCTTGAGGGTAAGGTCGCGACGCCCACATTCACACCGTCTACATCGTCTTTGAACACACACGAAGCCACGAAATTCTGTGCGTAATTCGCCAAAGCCAGGTCGTACATCTGCAAAACTGCGGTCTATCACAGAGTTACAGTACCGGATTGCTTGTTTTCCACAGCGCATAAAAGAATATCGATTCAAGGTGTTTTACGTTCCCTGGCAAAAATGGTCTTAATATTCTTTGACCGACTCCTAGGTGATCTTTTGTTGAGGAGGAGGGTGTGCGAAGACGTTTGAAATCGGATATCTAGCATTGCACGGCATTCATTGACGCCCTATAGGCGACGATTGCTGAAATACAGCCGAATAGCGTTATATCCGCCTGTCGATCAAAGACCATGTATGTTTCTCATCACTTGACTGCAGGGCAACTCGCATCCGCATTTTGATTTGTCAACTTTATCCTCAGCTTCTTTCACATCGGCTGACACTTATCGTTCAAGGTCATCTTTGAGTAGGGGTCATTTTATAGCTGACCAACTGGACTTGCCAAAAAACGTTGTTTACATGCGACGTTCCCTAAGAGGAAAGTGCACCGATTTGGTTCCACTGATTCTCATTTGGAGGAGTCAACGATGCGTGGCACACTCGTTCTCAGGCTGCCTCTTCCCTAGTTCGAGATATCACATCTGTGATGGTTTGAGCACCTCGTTACGACTGTCAGTCATTGACCCGGTTTGTTATGCACCTTCCTAAATAACAGTTAGCCAGAGGGCTGTATGGTCTGCAAGATTAGACACTGAATCCTCTCTAAAACTCTTTTCATCTGCGCAAAAACGGGATCATCAAATAGATGACTACAGGTTAAGAGGCTATCGAAGCAACCCTTAGGGAATAGTGAGTTTTTGATTATAGATTGCCAGATAAAGTTTA